AGACTTTTAAAACCATAATCCATCTCTCTGAAAATTCATCAGAAACTTGTACTAACAAACCTCCCAGGGCTTGAAAAATGCAAAGTGATGTATGACTGCATTGGAATTCTAAAATTGTCAACTGATGTGCAGGAGATTTTACATACACATACACACACTTTAGATATATATATATATACATATACATACACACACAAAAATTTTATATAGCTTAAAAAAGTGATCTATGCCATATAGCAAGCACCTGAAGCTGTGAGAACATCCCTTAAGGAGTCATTCCAAGATTCATTCATAGATGCTCATGGTCAAAAGGAACGGCAAAATTCAAAGGGTCCGCAAAAGTTTACAGAGTTTTATCAGTAAATTACACACTTGGCATGGAAATTGGTATGTTTGTCCCTAATATTCTAGTATAAGCACACAGCAGTGGATTTTGGATAAAAGGGTAGGGTGAAAGGGAAGAGAGAGAGAGCTGAATTAAAGAGGGATAGAGAGAAATAAACAAAGAAAGAGAGAAAAAGAAAGATCACTGGTCCTGGTTCCAGTGCTGATCCAGCGGGGGGGGTGTCCAGGGTCCTGGGGCGCATATGCACCCAGGCTTTGTGGCTGGACCTTTATATAGATAAGTTTTCACCATCCTGGAGATAAGCATCTTGCTTTTTATGCAAATCAGTTATCATGCTCAGCCCACTCTTCTAGACCTTTCTGGAAATGGGTTGGAGGGCTTTGGGGGTCTTTGGTGGTCTTGACCCATCCCCTACAGTGCATGCCCGCTGCTCAACCTCATTCCTGCGCTTGCACTGTACTGTGTGACGCTTATCTCCAGAAGCTTGAACAAGGAAGGACATTTGTCTCCCTTACCTTCATATGGCTCCCTTCTCCAGGCACATTCTGTTCCTTCTCGCAATGTATTATTACCAACAATCCTTTGCTGTTGTTACCAACAACCCTTGGTTGGCTCCACGGCTATCCAGCTATCCGTGTTCGAGATACATACATTAGCCCCCTTATCTTTTAGGCTTCTACAGAGAACCCACTCTCAGATTTAGCTACTGATTCTTCTCCTGATGATGTATAGCAACATTACAGAGCCACATGAATGAAAAGTGCTTTGTGAGCCTGGACTTTGCAAGAACTCATAAATATGTGAATTCCATCCCATTACACTCATATTTCACTCTGTGAAAAATGCTACTGTGTAGTGGGGTGCTCTTATTTCAAGCAGCAGCATACTGTACACCCAAATGCTCCTCCTGATAAAACTTAAAGCCTGAATCCTTGCACAGTGCGAAATATAGGATACTAAAATGTTTACAGCTTCCCCCATTCCTTCTTCTTCAAAGGTGAAACTACTGAAAAGTTGGTCATAGTGAGCCTACATCTATGTAGCAGTTGTATTAACTTCTGCTCCTTTCGTTTCCTCAAAATGGCATTTAATGCACTAAACACATACTTGTAAAAGTAAATAAATATAAGTTATCACAGGAAGACACACACCAAAGCTATTGTTTCATGTATCTCTTCTAGGTGTTTCACAGAACATGCCTAACATCTTAAAATGTAATAATAATCATGCCTACATGTTTCCCAAGAATATAAAAAACCCACAACTAAAATACAGGGAGGCCAATTTGATATAAACAGTCTTATTAGTATAAGCTAATAATTAGCTCAGCAGTTCCAAGAGTAATAAAACTGACCCTTTGCAATTTAACAGTGCAACATCAACTACAGCTGAAGAAATTACAGTTCATTAATTTATTTTCTAAAGAAGAAAAAGAGAATACTGCTGTCTCTACCTACAAGCCCATTATGAGGTCAGTAGTGAGAGAAATGGGCAGCTTTCTATCTTTGCACTCTCATCCTCTGCCTTGAGACACCACCTTTTAAATTTGATTGACATGGCAGTAACAAACCTCTACTTTGCAGCAGCATCAGGGAGAGAAAAGGGGGTAGGGGAAAAGAGACTTTATGTTTCAGAAGCGCTCAGGTACAATGGAAATCCATTTGCCAAATGACATAGGACAAATTTTTCAAAGTTGTAGATGTGTCTGAAAGACATACACAGACATTGCCCGAGCAAGATTTCTCAAAGGCACCAACGTGAAATAAAGACAAGATAACTCAGAATTCCAAGTCAGTTTTGGCTATTGGTTAATAGTGCACTGCAGCTATTGCACTCAGAGATTATTGTGATCTACTAATTGCACAAATGAATTCTTTACCAACTGTCTCTTCCCCATATCTGCAGCTTCTTGCCCAACAGTCCACTACCATTCCTGTTTTCCTGTCCAAATTTCTCAACCAACCCTGCCAAATCAGTGCTTACCTTCACACCCTGTGTAAGTACAAGATACACTTCAAGTTTCTGCATACAGGGAAACTGTACAGGTGCTTCAATTACTTGTAAAATCGCATCACTGAATCCAATATCACATTCATCTGTGCACTTGAATTGGCTGCAATGCCATGCAGAACCACAAGATACATTAAAATTTGGTGGCAGAACTCACAAGCCACCTCCACAGGCTCAACTGTGGCACACTGGAAAAAGTCAGTATTTCTTGAAACAGTACTAAAAAGCTCAGCTGTTCGAACAAGTTCTACATTATTCAGTTTTACAGTAATAATTGAGATAAATAACTATAGTGTCAGAAGCTTTATCTTTCAAAAAAATTCTGAAAGGATTTTAATTATCTTGCTCTTGTCTGGACTTGTCTAATTATTTTTTTCCCTAATAATAATGTTTATGACCTTTATGAGAATGCTGCTCTTCTGAAGAGTCATGATGCAACAAATCCATAAAGCAGCTAAGAATGAAGAAGTTGTTTTGAAAAGACCTCTTCCTCCAGATCCAAGGTGGGCTGACCTAAGCCGCTTTCACTTTCCATCATTGTCTTTATGTCAGCAATAAATGTGCCAAAGTTCACACAAGCCCTCCCTAATCCAATTTAAAATGAGAGGGCTTAAATCACAGTGAGACAATTAGCCACAGGAACTGCTACAGAAAGAATGAAAAGTAATATCTTAAACTACCTCAGCTGTTTTAAAATTGGGTTTGTCCACACCTCTGCTTTAGTAGAGATGTGCATCATGGTGCCAGGGCACTTTTCAGAGGAGATACAGAAGTCATTTTGGTTTGAGTTGCTTCAACAGTATCAGTATAGCTCATGTAGTAAAAGGGGCAGAGATAAAAATCTGAAAATATTTCAGGCCAAAACCAAGCAGTTTGGCAGCTTACACAGTAACTGTGAAAAACAGAACTGGGTTTGAAAATTTAGAATTAAAAGCAGCCACAACAAACTCATTCTGTTCTTAAAAAATAAAACGTCCAAACAGTTCATTCAAGGAAGAAAATGAACCTCTCTGACTTGTCTGAGACCTCTCTGTCTCAAGTTTATCTTTTGGCATCTAGAGACTCAGGATAAAATACCTGTTCCACTAATATCTACTTATAGTTCTCAAAAAAAGCCTAGGAATTTTTCCCCCAGTATTAAAACTCTCAAATTCAGGAGCAATAACAGCATAGAGTATGTTTCTCTATTTTGTTGCTGTTATTAATTAAGTCCCATTTACTGTTCCTGAATTGCTGTTATTTAGTTGCACTAGATGGGTGTGTTACAAAGTAATGGAAGACAGATCAACAGCTGTAGTTATTATGAAAATTATGGCAGTACATGAGAGGATTGCAGCTGCTCAATTCATGCAAATAAGAGCTACTTGACAATGCCTATAATTACATAGTATGTCAAAACAGCATAGCTGGAGTATAAGTAGAGACTACATATTTTAGAAAGCCAAAAGATTTCCATTTCATTATGTTCACATTCCCTAAACTCCTACTTAGGGATAACAAGATACACATTCTGTCAATGGGCTCACAAATACAGAAAGGTCTACTGAGTCTCCCAGGTGCATTCTCCTGTCAGCGCTGCAGCTGTCAAACACAGAGCCTCTCTGCATGTTTCCCAGGCATTTGTAATACAGCCTGTACTCACAGTCAGACGAGCTGGGGTTTCAGCTCACAGTGTGCTGAGTAGATAAGAAGAAAGATCCAGCCACATCTACTTTCAAAGCAAAGGAAGATTGCTTCCAAGTGGCTCAGACAGTGCAGATACCATCTCCTCTATTCAAAGACTGTTCCTGATACCTGGGACAGCACTGTAATATTCTAGTTTACTTTGCTTTTGAATGTACCCACTTTCAGCTTGTGCTGGATAATTCCCACTTGAGGCACTAAGGCCCTCTTAAAGAGTACATTTCCTTTTCTTATATAAAAACTTCACTAAAAGCTCCTCATTTTCAGAGAGGCTGCCCACAGTGCTTATCCTGTTACATGTGTAGGCTATTTGCACATTAGCAATGGTTTATATAAAGTGACATTTTATTATTTTAGTTTCTCCCGTTCCCGTTCTGCCTCTTTAACTAAAGCCCTTTGTTTTTTGCTAGTTGTTTCATGCTGGCAAATCTCTGCACCTGCATGGCAAAAAACAAGGACCTGTTTCTGCTTTTCCCTGTATCTCAAACTCTTGTTTCAAGAACTGTGCAGCACAAAGTTACATTACAAATAATAAACCCAGAACACAAAACACCAGATTAATTAAGAGATTTATTTATTTATTTATTACTCATGACATTCACATAAAGAGACACAGTGAGATACATAATTTTGCAGCCCTCCTACCTATCACTCTGGGGTGAGTTGGACCTACTTGGTATATAACACAGCTGGTTACTAAAATTCCTTACTGCTCTTGTTTTACACAGTGATTCAAACTGTATAACCTGGCAGTAAATAATCTTTCCTCTGTACTATCAGGACACGTACTTTCTCGTGAAGTCTGCTGACAAAGTCTAGTTCCAACACCTTGGAACCCAAGGACACAATCTCCTGGTAAAAGAGGTACCTCAAGCTTCCCACATTTCACATGGACAGTCATTAAATCACTGACCCAACATAACAGCTACTCATATTGTTAGTCTTAAACTGTCAGTCTTACCTGAAATCACATGCTGTGGTAAGTTCTGCGCCTCCTCCAAAAGCTTTTCCTTGAACTAGTGCAACACTGATCAAAGGCAACCTACACAAGAGAGTTTTGCAAGCAAAATTCAAGCTTTTAGTCTTTTACAAATTAGAAGGCAATTCAACAAAACCATCTCTATAGTAAAACTTTAGAAAAATATATTGCTCAAATTCATTCAAATAACAACATCTTTGTGGGCAAGCAGCACAATACCAATTCCACTTTTGTCAAAATTACTATTGCATAATTGATATGGAATCCCAAAATGAAACAGCAAAACAGAGACATCAAATGGAATAAAAAAAAAGATCATGTACTGAAAAAATACATGTTATGAAGCATATCTGCTACAGACTATACCTAAAAAGACTATCTGCAAGAAGGAGTGACAGGACAGCAACACGAGATTCTACTCTATACCAGTTCACTACAGAAAACAGTAGAAAGGGATACAAAGAACTGAAGGGCTGGGTTATCTAAAAATAATGAAATTTACCATGACAGCCTCAGCAGCTTCTTCAGAGTGCTACTATCTCAGTCATCAACAAAACTTTTTTCTTTTTTTTTTTTTTTTTGAGGACAAAACCACTTGAGGAAAGCAGCAATCTGTTACCTTTGTTGTCGGTGTATTTAATCATGCTCAAGGTATTTAATCATGTTCAAGGTAATTCAAAGGACAGAGGGAAGGAAAGTATGTTTTCCCACTGCCATTGTGAAATGAATACTAATGAACAGTGACTTAGGATGAGCTAAGTTCCCTAAGAAATTAAGCCAATTGGTTAGTCACAGAATTTGAACACTGATACGGCTGTTTCATCTTTTACTACAAAGAAACGTTTAACTTACTGAATAGTTTTCAAACCACATTCAAAAGTCAGCTTCCCGATAGTGACCACATGTTTGGTTTTAGTTCTACTTTAACAGAAGCACAAAACTTTCTTTTGGCCCAAGTTCACTTAGAAGCTGCAGCACTCTTCAGACAATACATGGCACATGAACGCACTGGAAGAGGGCAACCTCATTTTTCCTGTGGTTTACGAGAAACCAGAAGATATGGGTCCAAGATCCCTACATCCACACTTTGATCCGTTCAAGGCACCTCTTTCAGGATCACAGTCAGCATCAGCTCTCTCTGAGGGAGACTAATCCCATCTACAACAGATGTCCCCAGACAGCAGCTCACTGCTCCCCCTGAAGCACTGCTTTAACGTCTGCTAAGTCTACACACCTGAGTTGGGGGGGGTTTAATCTTCACACATCTTCCTCCTCTGCTTTGCCCCATCCATTTTGATTATATGGAGACTCAAATGGATTCCAATCCTGAGGATTCCTTACAGTACTACTACTATAAGTCTCCTGGGCAATTTTACAGAAAAAAAATGTTAATTCATAACACTTTCTCATATAGATTATTTGAAAACAAAGAATATCTGAAAACAGAGAGTATTTATCTTCAAAGAGCTCTCAGCAGAAAAAACACAGACTTTTCCAGTAATGGATTTAATAGATTAAGGGAAGCTAAATTTGAAGGAAAGGAAAAAGTGTTTTTCAGAAGTGCCAGATGGTAGAACTGAATACATTCCTCTTATGAAGTGGGAAGAATAAACAGATACATCAAACAAATGTTACCTGTGTAGGCTGCATAAGCTGTCCCTGCTTGTTATTTATAAGCTACCGATTTCCATAGAGTTATAGAAGTCAATTTCAGAAAATTTGAATGCCTAGATTTCCTTAACTCTAGGTATCTCCTAGCTCTACGCATAAAAGCCTGGGTGGGTTTTTCCTGTTCTGATCTCTGGAAAGTCTAATAGTTGCAAAATGTCAAGGTCTAAGATTAATCCATAAATACCTACCCAACTAATATGTGTGAATGCAAGGTCTGGGATTCAAAATTACATACTTAACAACTATGTATTAAACTTTACACATCTCATTAAAGGGTTAGCTAAAATACATTCCAATACTTATAATTACTTCATAAAGAAGGGTAAATAAAATATATTACCTCATAAGTCTGGTTAAAGTGTTTTGCATAAACATGCACATATTCATCCCGTCCTACAAAGAATAGGAAATTAAGAAACATTAAGTGATCTTAATATGAAGCAATTAAACACACAGATGGAGAAGACAGGAGTAAGTATTCTTTATATTTACTTCAGCTGTTTTTTTTCTCTTTGGTTCATCTTACTCAAATTCCAGTCCAACCCCACTATGACTGAGTATAAATCATGTAAAAAAAATAAAATCAGACCTCAATCAACCTATATAAATTTCAGTTATAATTAACCCACCATTAAAGTAATTGCAATACTGGATTTCTAGGATGTGAAATTTTACATTCTTTCCTCTGACTTTCCTCTTCTCATTTCAAGTTAAACACCCATAAATCCGAGATTTTGAAATCTGTATAGGATCATAGTGCACTGCATACTTTTTTCTGTTCCAAATACATAAAGCTTTAGAAGATACAATTTACCAACTGAATCTTTTATTGTTTGGGCCAAAAGCATCTCAGCTAAAAAACCCAAACAAACAAAAAAAAGCCACCAACAAACAGAAAATCCCAAACCAAAACAAACAAAAAACTAAAGGGCTCCAAATAGAGTAAGCTGCTGCTATGTTCAAACCAAATATTTCTTCCTACAACGTGTAACTAAAATATGGAGAACTTGGTAGCAGGACATTACATCCTCTACATGAATTCAAGAACATCTAGATAAACTCATGATGGAAAAAGTGGAAAAAGGTTATTACATAGAAGTTAACACCTCTAGTTCTAGAAGTCTTAGTCACAAGTTGCTGGGGACTAAGAGAACATTTTGAAGCTAAATCATTATCTATCTGCCTTCCCTGTTATTACATTTTCTCAGACATCTAGTATTAACCATGAACTTGACAAATAACTGGGTTAAATGACTCCCATCACCATGTTCATATACATACTTAATTGAACTACACATACCATTTACCCCAGATTAAAAAAAAATTAAAATTACATTTGGATACTATAAAAATAAAAAACCCAGCAGGTAACAATTTCAGCATGTCTTTAAAATCATAATTAAAAATAAAAAAATCCAAACAAACCAAAACCAATAAACATTTCTTTATTGGAACTTTATTAATTTCTAAAACAATGTTTTCCAGGGGTTGGCAAGTTAAAGAATCCATCTGAATTAAAAGCTTCTGACTCATGCTCCTGGGATACCCAGTAAGTCTCCAGTACATCTTTGGAATAGGACCTTGAAATAACAGTAGGTCAATTTAAGGTGCTACTTTGCCCAACGCCAACCAGCATTATGGTGTTTGGGCATAGATCTCTGGCAGATATAAGCTGCCACAACAATCACTATACAAGAACCAGTGAATTCAGTTTTATTACTCTAAAGGCCTGCTTGAAAATTTCAGCATGTGTTGATTTACAAAGAGGCTTTTAGTTATCACCATAGCCATCTTCTACACCCATTACGAACAGTAGCAATATCTCCATTCTGAATTAAAGAACATTCAAATCCTTCATGATAGTTACTTTAATAGATAATTTCAAAACCCACACAATCATACAAGGTACCAGTTCTCAGATATAGACTTGCATAATTCCCATATGATAACTGTCAAGATGACGCTGCATAAAAGCTTTTCAGAGAACATAATTTTTCACTTCATCACAGTAGACCCCCTGCATTGAAACTGGCCCTCTCAACTCATGCCAAAATCCAAAATGGTGATTAAAGATTAATTCCAGAACAGACCAGCTTGATAAATGCAGTTATGACTGAGCAGACAAAAGGTCTTCGTACTCTCAGGTGGTAGAGAGATTTCTGTGTAACCCATGGCAAAAATGCCTGCACAGAAAACACTCTGAAAAAAAATAAATCACAATTGTTTGAGTCCTGGCCAATAAACCTTTCAAGCCTTCCTGATAAGAAAAATAAGGCTACTATTCAGATAAAATACTCTAGGAGGTATTTGCTGTAGTCTAGTGGAATAATTATATTTTCAGTTCTGATACTGTCCTTGAAGTAAGAAGAAATCTAATACGCAGAAAGGGAGGTAAAACACAGTATGCACTACATATGGAAGAAAAGGATTAATAGCTTGCAGTGAGGCTAGGGAAGACAGGGAAGGAGAAAGTCACCTTCATAAAGTAGAAAACTGTAACACTGGCTCTTACTGCTGCAGGAGCTTAGAGTCCACTTTCAGGACAGATAGAACAGTATATTCAGATCATCTCCAACTGCTCCAAAGTCCTCCCTCCACAGCTTACTGCTTGGGAACCTCTGTCCTAGGGCTCTAGACTGGGACCAAGGAACATGAAATTCTCCTTTGTGCCTTCTTCCTCTCATCTGTCCTTTCAAGAGCCACTCCTGCTTTTCGGCTAGCCAGCTTTTCAAGTCTCAGTCCAGAATGAGGTTCTCACTCTTGGGAACAAGGCTTACAAAAATAGAAAGAAAAATATTTTTTTTCTTTAAATTCCACTACTCATTTGCCATTTGTGATTTGGTTACGTAATGTTAGCAGTCTGCAAAGAAGAACAGGCAGGGGGCCTGGGGTATTGTTTCAGAGTTAGAAACAACTGAACATGGGAGAAGGTGGACAAAGAGAGGAAGAGAAGAATAAAGAGGAAGAGGAGGATGAAGAGCCACTAGGGGGCATGAAAATGCTTCAGCATTCTGCGCCATTATTCTGCCTATCCTGCACCACAAGGAAAAGCAAACTGTATTTAAAATCATGAAAAATACAATCTTCCCTCAACCAACTAGTTGAACAAAAGCGTTTTCTGCAATTAGTAAAAGCTATGGGCTAAAGCAGCCTTGCAAAAAAATAAAAATAAAAAATATACCAGCATGAAGCTATTCACTTTTTTTTAACTTAAGGATGCCTGTGGACAGAAAACTTTACCTGAAACCACAAAAAGTCTCTCATCTGCAGAAATCTAGAGAGAAGACTAAGACTAAAGAACAGCAAATGCTATTCCATATTTTATTAAAGCTTTATTCAATATAGACTATTAAATCCCACCAAACAGATGGTTTAGGAACTTGTTATCATAAAGAAACTCTCAGTAAAAGATAAATAGCTTGAACTCTCCAAAGGAAATAGAAAGCAACTATGTTTAACTATTCTTGGAGCATTTCTAGTGACTTTTAGACTTTATTTCAATACTAGTCATGAGATCCAGATTCTGTGCAGAGAATTTTCACTGAAGTTAATACCCATACACTTCACTTTGGCCATTATATCTGTTATGGACTCTAATCTTTACAAGAGCCCTCTCTGCCACTGCAGTGGCTCCAAGTAATTTATATAAGCATATGGAGAAAATACTAAATGTAAGGAAGCAGAATCACTGAGATTTACTGAATGCAGAACTCTGAAGGAAAGCCTAGACTGAAGATAAGAAAAGAACTGGCCTTGCTCGGTTTCAGCTCCTTTTCTGTTGCTATAATGCTTAAATAAGCTGAAAATTGCAGATTTAAAAAAAAAAGTCAATTAAAAAAAATCACAGATACATCTATATTTTTAAAATTACCAGTGCTTATAAAACCCAGATGAAAACTCCCTCAAAGCAATTTATATCTATAAAACATGACATCTCCATATTAAGAAAAGATTATCTCTCATGGTGTTCCCCAAAGACAACAAAGTGTCCTATACCCTTTGAAAACTGGACTGTTCTATTTATTTTACCAGGCTCAGAATTTGTGGGGTCTATAACATTTAGTTTCATCAACAGAAAAAAATCATCGTTAAAGATAAATACCAGTTTAACCAGTTTTTGTGTTGGTGCTCATACTGGAATTAAAAGTTTGATTTATATGGATAAATCCTGAAACTGGAAGCGGCCACAGAAAAGCACCAGGATGTCAGTCACCACAACTGCAAACCAGGACTTAAGAGCAGCACAGGAAGAGCCCCTCCTCCAGCAGCTGACAAAGTCCTATTTCACACAGTGCCAGGTACCACATATTAATCCATAAAAAGAACTGCAGCACATGTGAAAGTTGCCAAATGGGTGACATGAGCAAAAAATTGCCATCAAACCCCTAACCTCTTCAACCCCAGAGTTACAAACAAGACTTTCCTGACTCAAGTATAGCACAAGAATTGCACCTGTCCTTCCATTTTATGCAGTTCCAAACATAATTTGACAAAACAGAAACCTTTCTGTAATAGCAGCCATTCCACTTAAATTTCCTTTTTTACTTTAGAGTATATAAAAATTTATTACATGAAACATCAAACTATAGAAGTACTGCTTATCTGACGTGTAAATTCACTATATACTGCTCTGAGAAACTGAAATGACATTTTTAAAAGAAAAGATTAAAAAGAATATGCAGGAATTTACAGTTACGAATCAATTACAATAATACTTACGTCACAGCTTAAAGGGGCTGCTAGCATTTTTTTAACCATTAAAAGCTCCATTCTGTGACATGTAAAATTGCAGCAGAAGTGTAGTGCAACTCCTCTGTCTAAAAAGACTCTCAGAAAGCTCATTTTTCTCCAGAATCATAATGTGCATTAATACTTGCCTGGGAGTTGGATATTTCTTTGACAGCATTCAAATCTGATCCTGAGCAAAAGGTGTTTCCTGCGCCATAGACGATAAGGCCTTTGCCATCCTTCCAGTTTTCCAGTTCAGTTATCCTCTCCTGGAGTTCTACCATCATAGTACCTGACACAAGTGGGGAGAAGCAAAATTTTTAACAGACAATTATTATCACCATCATGTTTTGTGTTACATTTTCCACCAACAAAACCAAATCAGAGTTAATAAGTGATAGGTTTAAAATCACATGGGGAAGTATCGTTCTAAGTCCCGCACACAAGCACTGACATACATTTTTTTCTTCTAGGATGCACTCCCTGAAATTCTGAAGGATATTCTGCATGAAGGGTATTTCTGTTCCACTCAAAAAAAACCTTAAAAAAAAAAAGCAAAATCAAAACAAACAAGCAAACAAAAATACCCCTATTTTATTTATTCCTGTTTGCAATTGCATACGTTCCAGACACATGAATTTATTACTTTCCATCCAAATCTGTCCAGCTAGTCATTTTGAAGTTTCTGCCATTTCCCCCTGCTCAAAGAATTGGCAGCAAAAAGAAAAGAACCATGTGCAAGGTGGGTTCAAGGCATAACCAGTTAACATTAACAAAGATTCCTAAAAAAAGGCCAAAGACCAAACTGTGTTGGAGGCCAAAGACATTTAGAAGTATCCACCCAAAAGAAAATAAAGATATATTTGAAAATAGGAGCAAAGTGTCTCTTAGATTAAAAAAAAAATAAATAAATTTTTTTTATAACATCTTTCACTCCCTTCCCGGAACCTTTATAGAAAGGCTCCCTTTACAAAGTATGTCATTGTACTAGCTTTTTATTTCTAGCTTCAACACCATATTCTTACATACTTATTCACTTAAGTACCCTTCCTGACACGGAACTCTACAAACTCCTGTTCCTAAAGCTCATCCTAGACTGCAGCATCTTCCACATCAATGGAGCTTACCCTACATTAACTTAAAGCTCTTCCTCTCTAAAGGCCTATGACTCTGTCCAGTTATATTCTTAAGAGAAAACATTTACAGAAACTAATTTCAGAAAGCAAGCTACATACAGGCTGATGACACTCAGCTTTACCCTCCTTTGACAAGAATTTAGATGGACAGGCCTACCTTCTTCAGATAAAAATGTGCTTTAGATTAATACTATCAAGAGCTCTCCTCTGCCAAGAATGTTGTTTTTTTAACTCTACACCTGCATGCACAGGACTCATCCTGTTCTGAAATTGCCTGTTAGCAGCCAATCCATGGGAGATTTATTTTTCCTTCCTGTTTGTTTTTCTTGCACTTCCTTATGAAGTAAGCTTCCCAGCACCATATCAAGAATGAACACTTAGTCAAGCACTTCTCCCTTAGGCTTGGTCTCAGCCACTGAAATAGCACATTTTGACAATGTTTCTGAGGAGGCCAATAATTAAGTGGACATCACATATTATATATCAGAATGACACTGGATTGTTTTTTTTACCCACTACCAAATCCAGACTGTGATGCTCTAACAAATCCCTGCAGTTTTGCCAGTTCCTTTCCCTTCTGTATTTATAATTTGGCCATGCTTTTCGTGTGCAGCACATTACATTTGCTTTCATTGAATTTCACCTTGTTTATCTTGAGCTCTTTGTAGCAAGATCACTTTAAATGCTCATACCTCTGCTGCAAAGAATAATCTTGCAAGTGTGAGAGACTAAAATGTTCATGATTTAAACATTGTTAAGAAGGGCTTTTGCCCACTGTAGCAAACTGCAAAGATGACCATCTAAACCCACTTCCCAGGGATTTCAGGGAATTGGACTGTGAATTAACCCATCTGATAGGAACCTGAGGTAAGAGAAAGGTGGTCCAAATCTTCCCAGGTCTGAGAAGAAGTAAACTCAGCAGCTGTGTTGAAAATCAGCTCTTGGGGGGAGGAGGAGAATTTTTGGGTCTGTGATGGCGACACCTCTCCTCCTTATGAGAGAGGGAGTAAACACCCATCCTCCCTTGCACAAACTGGCTCAGTTGTAAACCTCCCACACAGAGGGGGTATTTTCTACTTAATCTGTCTTTCTGTCAGTCTCTTTCTCTCTCCCCACGCCTTTCTTTTTTCTATTTCTTTTTATCTCTTTCTCTCTACCTCATATTTACTGTTAAATAAAACCTGTACTATTGACTTTGGTATATGGTGTCATCTGCACTTGAATTCGGGCAGAGGCCTCTCTCTAATAATTTTAATAACAGATCTTAACAGCAAGCTCTCCCAGTTTGGGGTGATCTGAAAATTTCAGCACTTCACCTTCTATTTCATCATCTAAACCATGAACAAAAATACTGAGCAGAATTAGGCCTAGATAAGATTTTTGTGGGTCTTCATTTGAAATGTTTTTCCAGACTGATGGTGCACTCAGCAACTTTTCTGCAAATGCTGTTCAAATAGGTGTGCATCAACCCTGCGGATTTCACTTATTGCTTATTTGACAAGTCTTCTTCCTAGAAAGGTATTTGGGCTGGCATCCAAGCTTTGCTAGCATCAAATACAGCATAAACACTGTTTGTGGTTCTCTTAACAGGCAAAGCAGTGAGGTATTGAAGAGTCTTTCCACACAGTATTCCAAGCCAAAAATTTAGTTAACTGAAAAAATGAAGGAACTATATGAGCCCTTTACATGCGTTAGCTCAGAACAAGAGACACTGGCCAGAGCCTGTCCCATTCTCCTGGCACAGAATCCCTTCCATTCCTGTCAACACTGAACTATTATTTTACCAACAGATATAGTCCATGATGTTTGATATAATGATGAGGACACAACACTAAAGCAAATCCTCATTCAGCCAGTCTTGTCTTGTAGTATTTGATACTACTAAGCTCATACTCTATTTAGAAAAATCTACTTGGAATAATAATTTGTTTGCATCTTAACTATAATCTGAGAATAAGTGCTTTAAAGTAAATTCTAGAAAACAAAATTATCATCATTATTATCTAATTCCTACAGGCTGGCTTTCTTCTCTTCTAAATTACATTCAAGTTTAGTTCAGTGATTGATTGGGCTGCCGAAATTGGTTCCACCAGACTTAAACTGACATTATTACCATTTGTTTCCAAAGAGACCATTACAAAGACGTGGCTATCAGATTCCAATTAAGAAGAGAAAAAAGACATAACAACCTCCATATTGCCCATTAGCAATTTGCCAACAATTTTGTTCTGTTTCTGATTTCATGAGTTGCTCAAGCTTAGAATAAACACAATTCCTTTGAGATAAAAAACTGCTGTGCAAAGTAAATGCCTGGAAAATAGAATCTCCCTCAACAGTTTAATTTTGCAGCTTTCTAAAGGAAGAGTACATGTATACATAAATTCACATCTGCCACTATTCAGAAGCTCGGAGTCACAGAATCAACAGAATTTATTCGCAGGGTGGAGCAGGATGGGTCAGTGTATCTACAGGCTCTGGTTGATGAAATCAGCCACGTCCTGCTGGGGCAATTTAGGGGCTGAACATCCCATTCTGCTCCTTGAAGGGTTTTGATGATAGGCAAAAGAAGGAAAATGATCAGGTTCTTGACTGCTCCTCAGCAACTACAGTTTACAGACAGTAATGTTAAAGTGAAATGAAGAGCAAGATAAATTAAGATGCCATACCATTAACTGCAAAGGCCAAGGGACCAGCCTGATTTTGTATCTACTCTCCCTCCTGTTACAACAAAAGCCTCTAGCAGAAGTGTACAGCAGAAAGAAGCAGTATTTGTTGAACTGCCATAGTAAGATTTTCCACAGCAAATTTTTGTGGCTACTACCTAGCAAAGTGGAGTACTGCTCTCTGCAGGGCTCTACACACTGCTGTAAAACAGAACTGCCTGATCCCAGGGCTCATTTGTCATGTGCTAATTAGGGTCTGTCACAAAGACAAAACCATTTATTTCCTCAGCAGTTTTTGTAGGTCCTCTTTGCTACTAGAGCATCTAATTCAAATACACTAACAAGTTACTTTCACTGCAGTTCTATAAGGAGAGAAGAGATTATATTACAGACCGCTAACTGAGCCAGAGAGAAAATATCTGCTAATTTGGGTGCTCGAGATGTGTGATATGATTTCAGTGCATTAACATTATATAGAACATTGTGTAGGCAAAGAACAGCTACCAGTTGCCTAAACGGCAGCTGCACCTGCACCTGCTCAGCACTTCAACCTATCAATTCTGAGCCCCTTCTGTCAAGCACATAGAAAACAGTTGCAAGTTTCTATTAAATTTTAGTTTAAGCAGTTAGGCTTTTATTACACCTGATCTCCATAGCAGACTGGGCTTTATCTGTTCTTTCTCCTTTTGCTATTACATCTCATTGGTCATGCCCCTTTCAACTTCCACAACAAATAAGCTAAGAGCACACAGTCTACAAGGTGCACATTGCACAGTTCTGTTTTGAGTCAAAAATAGAAACCAATCTGTAGTAAAAGAGGAAACTACAATGTCATTATGATTGTGTAACAGCATGAATGCTGACAGGGAGGCATTCAGAAGGACAATCCCTACGCTAACATCTTTAAGCTACAACTTCTCAAGTTAGGTAGTGATTTTATACATGAGCTTTCAAAGGGAAACAAAAAAGAATGCAGACACATCTAGGGGCATTACCACCAATTCTGTTGCTCTGTTAGGTTCCTTTCAGCTAACAATCATTAGTGGAAAGGTAAGCGGCTCTACACTTTGTTAGTGTTCCAAATGTACTTGCTTACAGCAAAGGAGTGGTGAGAACAGGGCGGGAAAACAGAGTAGCAAAAAAGGAATTAACAAGATGACACAAATTTATCCATTTCAAAATATTAAGAGATAAAGACATTCTTAAAGGTTTCTGCACAGCTCCAGCTAAAGCAGATTCAGACCCTGAACCTGTGCCACTCGTGTCTGAAGCGAATAACATAAATTGGAATATTCTAGACAGTTAAGGAGAGACAGCAAATATATTCATCTTGGAGAACAAAAACCTCTCTTACAAAATTAATAAAATAAGGGAATTGGTTTTAATAGATAAGTATTGTCCAGTGTACAAGCATATTAAATAGATCACTGACCCACAGCAGCTGAGAACACCCAGCTCATCTGATCTTTAACCAGTCATCAATATTTAAGACATAAGGCAAATGAAGAAGAAATGGAAGCCAGTTTGGGTGAGTGGAAAAGACCAAACCACAGAAGTTTAAGTTACAGAGAAACAAAGCATATATATATACACACATATATATATACATATATATATAAAGATAGTGTCTTCTCACATCTATAAATATGCCCTCAATGTTTCCAGAGCAGGGATGACAAAATGAGAGGAGATACAAGAAAGAGCACAGTGGCAGAACTGGGTTAACATATAAAAAAAAAGGGAAAGGCATATTCTGTGAAACAGTCCCCATGTCATTAAGAATTTCTTAAGATTCTTATGACATTTATAGTAAAGTTACTACGGAGAAAGTGGACATTTGCTGCACAGTTGAATAAAACTTAAGCATTTATTCTTTTAATTAAGGAATGGTAAGACACAGTGTTTCACTTTCTTTAGGCCAAATGCTAAAATGGGTAACTGAACAAGGGAAAAAGCCAAAACCAACCAGCAATCCCACCAGCTGATTAATACCTGTAAAAGCATTCATTAACTTTGGGTTGTTCAAGGTAAGTATTCCAATGCCATTGTCTTCTTTGGAAAGGTTGATGGATCCACCAGCAAACTGCTGAAGTTTCTTCTTTATCAGTTCTTCCTTATAGCCATGAGCACCACTATACACTGACAACCTTCTCTGCTGTAGAATTCTTCCCTTTGTAGTATGAAGTAAGTTCTTCCACACAGGAAGGGCCATTTCTGGAAATACATGGGGTGGGGGGAAAAAAATCAGGAAATTTCCTTTGAAACCCACTTCAGTTCACTGACAAAGAGGGAAGTAGGACAGCAGAAACTGATATAAAGGTGATGAAATTCTAAAAGTCTACAGAAATCACTGTAGACTGTACTTGCAAAATTGTTAGTTTGAATCTACTCCCACAAAGTTAACAGAAGCAGTTTTATGCACTTGAGTAGTTAAGCCAGAAATTAGCATCTTTTAAAAAGCTTTCATGTAAAAATTACTGAAAAAGTATTTGTGTACAGAACAGGAAAGAGGCTCAAGAACTATAGTAAGACTTTTATGTATTCCGCTAGACCAATTTACTCTGTATTTATCTTCCAAACCCTCCCTCACCCTCCCCCCTCAAAAAATACCAAAATCCCCAAATACTACACCTATGATGAAGAAAAAATCCTATCAAACCCCTAGTTTTCAGGATCTGGATCTCCTGCTTTTCTGTGAGTAACTATTACAGCAAGACCTTCACAAGAGAAATACTTGAGGAACATAAAAATTAAGAGCTGAAGACCATTCCTATATTGAAGTCTGTTTCCTGTCACCTAATTCCATTAACAGTTATCACACTTCATCTTAAAACTACTAGTCTCTAATAGCTATGTGCTTTTCCCAGTCATTCCAGCAGCAGTTTGAATTGATCTCACTGGAGCACCAGATCCTGTGCTGTACTCCAAAGGATGAGAGGTGTACAACTGTATTATGTATGGAGCATTACACTTGCCTTTTATACAGGTACATAATACTGGTAAACTATTTCTATGTACCAGTACACTCATGGCTTATTCCTCTGCTGTCTCCACTCCACAGTGCATGACTATCTATCAGGCAACAACAAGAAAGGAGTTATATTATTCTTGATCTGCATCTCTGCCTTATTTTATTTACTTTGGAAAAGGGTCTACTGGACAAAGGGGTTTACAAGTGATTTGAAAGAAACAGGGTAAAGCTTGACTTGGAAATAGCTGATCTGAAAATAGTCACCTTAGAAGCCACACAGAGTGGGAATCAAACATAGGACATTGAAAAAGGTTTCTTATATTTGAATCTTGCAATTTGCTAGAGTAGTCCTACCTTTTCCCCTTTTTAATATATACAGCCATTCAGAAGACATGGTAGATGCTCACTATTTTCATAACTGGGAAGAGACCTTCTTTGTTTCTTAATCGTTTTTGGCAGAAACAAGATTCTTTCAAAATTGGCATGCAGCTCTTGGAAAGTTTTTCTAAGGTGAACCCACAACACAAACACATTCACTGAGACAGAATTTGGTGCCAGCTATATTTTATGCTCTGTTCAGGGCATCTTACAGCTTGCAGACTCAAATTTTTGAAAGCATTTATTATATAATCATGATCAAGCAGATGCACATTATAAGCTAACTGCATGTGTTTTTTAATGAAAAAAGTGAATGGTCCTGTCAGGTGAACACTTATCACTGGTTATACCATTCTACACTAAACTGGAAAGTGCTTTTGTTGGTGCAGGTGCTCATCAAAATGGAGGAGGAGTTTGCAGAGCAACTAAACTGTGGGATATGAAGGAATATGCAGGAATATCAGGAAATTTTGAAGAGGCCTCTCTGCCAGTAGATTCATACCTGTCCTGCTACATTGCACCCACCAACAGAACACTATGTCACAAGCTCACCACAGAGAAACAAGAAAGGCCTACACAAATCTGCGCATTATAAGGTCATCTACACTGGAATAGCTTAAGGGATGATTTTTTAACATCTGTTGAGACACAAGGTTTTAATCTGTCCCAATCAACTTTTCTAAAGTGAAAACTAATAAAACTAACAAAAATTTAATCAAGTTAAAATCTAATTGAATACAAGATTCATTACTTCATAAATAACATTCCCCAACTACTGCTGCACCCAAACCCTCTCCATCTACGCACATTCTAATACAGTTTGCAACTCTTCAGCCACTACCTTTCAGAGCTTTTAAAAACACTTCTCTTATTAAAATTTTATTTAAAGATTGAAAACAGGTTTCCAAAGCTTATTTCTCAACTAATTGATTCTTTTTATTTTCAGGCTCTTGGAAGGGAGACAGCCTTCCCTTTTCTCTAAAACCTCAGTAGTCGTCCCTCAGCATACACTGATGCAGTAAAACTTTCCATCCAGCTACTGGTTTTAGCTCAGGAGAGAATAAACATTAAATACATGGATAGTGCAGGCTTTCCATGCAAAGCATAGATTGAACAATCTGCTCTCAACTTTTAATGATTACAAAGTGTCCCCAATCCTCATAAGAAAACAGAATTACTGGAATTCTCTAGGAAGCCCCAATGACTGGCTTGAAAGCAAGGAAGGGGGGGAAAAAAAGGCCAGGCCGTTCTGTTAACCTAATTCCTTGCCGACAAACTTTTTCGATGACTTTTATACATTATTAGATTTCTCATGACAAGAAATATACTGAGCAAAACAGACTTAAGATATGGAAATTTTATTCCAACGAAAAAAGAGTCTGTCATTTTCAGCTCCGTGGTTATATGCATTAACAGCTCTTTAATATTATCACTATGGTAATAAAGAGCATCAGCAAGTGCGGGATTAGAAAACAAATTGGACACCACTGCCAGCTGATCATGACTCATGATTAATGACTCATGCAAGGTATTATTGTTGAACTATTTTCTCTAAAACCATCTCTTACAGCACTGGTCAGTACCCAAAACTTTTTAAAATAAAAATTAGATTATTTTAACAGCTCAGTCTGAGAGAGCTAACCACTCAGGAAAAGCATGATATTTAAGCTAGAGCTCTCTCAGATTAAAAGGATTTCTGCTGATCTCTGACAAACAACATCCAAAATTTCAATCAGTACAGAGCACCCGCAATCCACAGCATGACTGAGATTGATTTTTTTGTATTGTAAGTGAAAGCAAGTGAGAGAGACAGATGTTACAGTAACATTTGTAGGACTAGTCAAGAGACATTTATTAACACTAAAATTTTCAGATTTTCAGTTTAACATAATCCCATCTATTTAGATATACTTCTAGAAATGGAGTCTTAGTCTCATTTCAAAAAGTCAGACATGCTATACCCATTAATATCTCTACCACAGACAGATGTTATGCAGAGTTTCCACAGTGAAAATAAAAGATCTGACAATAACAGTGGTCAGTTAGCACCTTTCAAATGTTTTGAGTGCTACAGCTTTATGTATCGCTGGCGACAACTAAGCGTTAAGCCAATAGTGTGGACATCAATAGTTGTTCATTCCACAGTTATTGTACCTCTTACATAAAACAACAGTTTAAATCCCAGTTGACACTCAAATGATTTTACAAACCCTTGCCTGTGGGCTTAGCAGACTGTGGGTTAATATGAGCACTTATGGAATATCAGCACTTCAATACAAAGGAACGACACACATGCAAGAGCGATACATGTACCTAGGTACAATCTATGTACTTTTGTGTAAGCATATGTATCAGAGGCCTTCTGAAAGCCTCTTATAACTGCCTACTTAAAATTCAGACCTCACAATGTTAATAAGAAAAGAGTAATAACAGGGATAACGCCAACATCAATATTACCTGAGTAGACTCTTTGGGAAATTAGTAAGCCCCAACTCTTGAGCAAGCATATTTGCCCTTGCTATTTACCAATACTCTGTTGCAACCCCAATTATTGTCTTAAAACATGCTGTATCAAGCAGTAACCTCCAGCAATGTTGCCAGTTACAACTGCCACTGAGCATAAAGACAGCTGGCCAGAGCAATGGGTAAGGGGTGGAAGTAGCAACTTGCTGGATTGGTAGAAGAACTAAGACAAAACTAGAGACCTGAATGTCAGGAGACCAAAAGAGCATTCGAACTGCCTGCTCAAACAAGAAACACTACACTACAGAGCAAATTAAATCAGAAAGTTAAGATACATGAGCAGGGAAAATCCCAGCTCAAAAATGGTGCCTTAATTACTGACACAAGTCAGGAAAAAAGAAAAGGGGGAGAAAAGATGCAGGGATGCTTTTTCAATACATCAAAGAAATAAGTGTGCCCTTCTATGTGAGGCAGGATGTGACAGGTGTGATGTGCAGATATAGTTACTGCAAAAAAAAAAAAAAAAAGACATCAACAGAATTTCTGGGTTTGGATGAAGTGTAACAGAAATAAAGGGATTCAACAGACAAAATCTACAAAAGAAATCTCAGGGAGGAGAAAATATTCAAAAGGCATAACAAAAACAACTGGAAAGGCACTTTTGTGACACTGCCAAAGGTGTCAAGGGCAGCTGACAGATCAAGAACAGGACAACTTGACTTGATGAAGTCCTCAGGCAGCTGCAATTTCACTGACAAGCACAGAAGTGCGAAGACAGGAAAGAAAGGTCAGAAGATGTGAACTGAAGATGATGATGATTTACAATTCAACCCAGTGCGCGTGTCTTACCAGTCACTTTAGAAGGCATTTATCTGTACTAGAGAGCAGTGACTCCACCACTGTCAGGTGCTTCACCACATCCCTGCAGTGACTGACGAACAAATGGAAAGCAAGTGGCGACCCAGTGCTGAGGATCGGCACAACTGACCCTATAATGTGAAAGCAGATGAAAAAGCAGAGTGATGGAGAACCAAAGCACGAAAAAAGTGTATTTGTGGGGAAAAAAAAAAAAAAAAAGGTTGAAAATGAGTGACAGTCATTAACAATAACTGACTGGAACCTGGGACGATGGGCTGGTGGATGATGGGGGAAGGGGGGTTGGGAAGAAAATAAATTCTAATGTTGGACAAAGAGATGGGATTCAAAACCAGCAAGATCAAAGAGGACCAGTTTGGATGCAAATTAAGACAAGAGCATAGGTCTCATAGTGAAGAGGAATCTCTGTACCCTGTCTTCAGACACAAAAAAGGTGTGTAGGAAGGAGATCTCACTCGCAGGGTTCCTCTGTTGCCAGTTGCTTGTCACCATCCCTCACCTGAAGGTCACAGAGTTCTTCATCTATCTCATCCACTTCTGCATCTCTCTGCTTTCCTTCCATGATGCCCACATTAGGTTAACTTAAACACCTCACCCTACAGGTTCTCCCACTCTCATAATTACCAGATGAAGCAAGATGAGGGCAGTCACCTCTCCAGCTGGCTTTCTTACTGCTGAAACCAAGCAGTGAGCAGATCTTAAGTATGCCAAGGGATCAGCAGCAGAAAGCCTTCTGACAAAACATAACTTACAAGTACAGAAATTAAACAAAGCTGGGGAACTGAGGAATTCTTCCTCCCCAGGAAGGGGACTGATCCCTCATGCCTTTTTGGAAAGGTCATGGCTCTCAAACTTGTTGAACCCTGTTCAAATTTTTAGTACATTGTCTCTGGTACCCACACTCTAGACAAATTGGATGGGATCAACAGTCCCTACAGTTCAGTGAGAAGTTACTTAAAAAAGGCTCTCTTTAGAAATAGCTGGTATTATAAAGGACGACTTTTTATCCTCTATATTACTGTTGAGAGAACAAAAGGTTTGGGCCTCCTAAGTTCTAGACAACAGCATTAGAATCAAAGTTTATCCATCCAGAAGCTGAAAGAACAAGAAGTGAGATGTCCATATTAACTAACTGAAATGGCACCAAATAATGCACATGTGAAATAAACTGTGGGAACAAAAATCTTTCAACACTGTAAATAAAAACTCCTCTTTGTCTGTGGTTTCAGTTCTAAGCTGGCTTACTCTTTACACGTCTTTTCTGCTTTTATCTCTTTTTTCCCTTGTTATTTTCATGATTTCTGAACAGCTCAATTCTGGGGATAGCAAGCTATTTGGTTTTCCAAATTATTTGTTCTTTGTTTAGTTTTGTATTTTTTAATGATCTCTGCAGGGTGGGGTTTAGATGTGAATTGTCTCTCTGTCCCTAAACAATTACATTCTCTTTTATTCGCATTTTAATTATTTTAAGAGTAGCTGAGAAATCACACAGAAACATACCAAAGCCCACAGAAAAATAATGGCATTCAAGGATGCAAAACAGTTGAAAAAAGGAGCCTTTCCATGAATACACAACAGTACCTAAAAACGTTTTATTTTTGTCACATGATGAGTACAAGATTCTGAGTTTCACAGCAGAAGGTGAGAGCAAGAATCTGGTATGTTCTGAAAAAGATACTCAGGCCCTTTATTTTTTAATATTTTGTTAATGTTTTTAATTAAAAAATGTTATTTCTTAATGTTTTGAATCTCTGAAGAGGCTCTCTTTAATCCTGTCAAGAAAGGGCCCTCTGTAACAGTGACAGAAAGCACTTTAAAGTTCACTGCCCGCTAGGTGTGTTTTAGAGTCCTTTAAGACAAGTAGATGCACAACTTCACAGGAGTGGAAACAACCACAACCAACTCACCATTTGCCTTTCAGTCACCAAGTCCTAACCTATAAAAGCATGAATTCAATTCTAGCGGTAATCACAAATAGTGATGCTTTCCCAATGATTAATTTGCTCTGAAAACTGTAAAGAAATTTTGCAGCCAAGAAAGAAATTTTGCAGCCAAGAAGTGCTCAGAATTCCACTTAGTACACTGTTCTTTACTCTTGCTCTCTTTACCACCACCACCACCATCCATAAATGCTCCTGCCAACAGCAACACCAAAACCACATCCTGACATCTGAACCGGCCACGCAGAGTGATTCTCATGCTCCTACTGTAGCAGCATCGGGAACCAGAAGCACACCAGGACTGCCTGTCACTTGCTTTCTTAACTCAAAGCGCTAAATTTCGGGAAGCAAAGGCACCTTCCCTGCATGGTATCACCCTGGGAAAAATGTGAAGGCTTGAGGGGCCGAGAGGTGGAAATTCCTTCCCCAGCAGAGGTTTCTTGCTGCTAACCTTGAGCAATGCCAAAATCCTGACCAGCACTTGTCCTGACAGAGGAAAGCTTTCTTGACGCGGCCTATTTTGGTTTGTTTGTTTGTTTGTTTAAACAAATTTAGTTATTTTAAATCAACCGTCAAGGGAAGCCTCAGTGCCGAGCAGGGCCAAAGGGGCCGGTGATCAAAGTGCGACCCAGGGTGTCTGGGCGGAGGCCGTGGGGGTTCGCAGCACAGCACATTCCCAGGCAGAAGCACCACCGGCCTCCCTCTCCAGCACGGGCACCCAGCGGCACCGCGGGGACGGGGGCAGACCCCGTCCGTCCCGCCGCCGGACCCTGCCCGAGGCCCTGAGCTGCCCCGGCGAACCGCAGGGGCCCCTGTTTCCGCCTGGGGAGCGGAGCCCGCGGGCGGGCACTGACCTGGCTCGGCCAGGCACTGACCTGGCCCCGCCGCTCCCTCCCGGCGCCACCCGAGCAGCGCAGGGCGGGCCGTGCTGCCGGGAAAGCGGCCCGGCCGGGAACCGCCGCCGCCGCGGCCTCTGGGCCGGGCCCGCCGCCGCCCGCCCCTGCCGGGGCTCCCCCCGGGGCCAGCAAAGGGGGTTAAACACCCTACGGAGCCCCAGGGAGTTGGAGGCAGGCTTGGGGTTGGCGGGGTCTGCGTTCTTCCGTGCCAGGTCTGTGGAAGGGTGTCGCCGAGCACTCTGCCTAAATTTAAGCGGTTTCGCCGCATAAGGAGCTTGTTAGCTCCCAAGCTGCTAAACGCTGCGTGAGCAGGTCGTTAGTGTTGTCTGCCTCCTGCACTGGGAGCCTCCATCTCTAAAAACCAAGTTCTGTGTTTCTATCCTATCCAAGTCAGTGTAATTAAAGATCTTTGTTTCTCCCCTGTCTCTGAACAGCGTCTCGCCGCAAGTCGCCGGAGCTGGGACATGGATCTCTGCCGGCAGGATCCAGCCTGGACCGATGGGGCTGCTCGCTGGCCTCCCGCCCCACTCGCCGTGCCAGGTGCTTGCCGCAGGCAGGAGAGGTGTCAGTTCCCTATCCATGTCGCAGTAAAGCGACACTCAGGCTCCCCGTGTTCACGTATATCCATTTTACCTGCCAGCCCAAGTGTGAGCCCCTTCCAGCTGTCGTGTTCCCGGCCGCCGTGCCTCCCCAGCTTCAGGTGCCACTCACCTGCACCCACGCTCCGGCAGCTGGGCCAAAGTGCGGAGCCAGCTGCAACCTACCCTTGCATCAAGCTGTAATTTTGTGTAAACTTGCAGCTGGCATAAAATAGCACTGTCACACACAGCCCTGTCCTCTCCGGCCTTTGTTTTCCCTCCTTGGAAGAACAAATGCTGCCACACCAGCAGCCAGATCAAGGGAAATAAATTGTTTCAATGCAGATCACTTTGTGTATTCAAAGCAATATGCAAATATGAGCCAGTCTTTCTTACACTGTCCTTGTTAATATGTAATACATACATAAGATGACTCAGTTTTAGGTATTTATAGTGTGGCTGAAAGATGTGTCTGGAAATATATCTTCCCTACCTTTATTAAAGCCCTTTTTCAACCCAGCTGTCAATACACATTTCCCAGAGGTGGTCTAGTTGATTAAATATTGTGATTGAATATGTAGAGGATTTCAATTAATAATATATTTGGAAAAACAAAAGCTTTACACATCAAACAGATACTTTCCATTTTGTATTGTTAAGAGAATTAAGAATGTGAAATAGTCTAGTCCCAGATGGTGCTATCTTTGTACTGAAAGAAGGATTCATTCCCTCATTACAACACTCCCAGTGTAAACAGAAATAATGCAACACGCAGGCTTGCCTCTTATTTTTCTTTTTGGGTTCGCAAAGAATTTTTCCAATAGGATTCAGCCTTGCGTTTGTTTCTGGAGAATGTCAGTTCCGAGTTAAAGATCTGTGTGAGGGAAGCAGCTCTCTCCAGGTCCTGCTCCAAGGCCTTGTCCTCTTTCGGAGCGGAGCGATGCCCAGACACGTCCCAGCTCGGTGCGAAGCAGAGGAGGGCGATGGTGGCTGGTAGCTCGTGATTTTACAGGTTACATATTGCCACCTAGCAGCAGTTGGTGGAAGTGGCACAAAACTGATCTGCACATCCATAAACAAGTTTGCCTCCTTTTAGTTTTATGGCCATGTGTCATATAGGACATGATGATTAGACTAGGGTATCCTCAGAGTGCAGAATGTGGTCTGTAGCAAAATGAGCGGGAGAACAGGATCCTCTTCGAAAACAGACACTAAAGATCCCTTACAGGCTGTAACTTTCAGCAGGATGGTGACACTAGTCCCTGCATGTTTGACTGTACAATAAGAAGTTAAAAAAAGCGCCAAATCCTGTAAAGTTGCTTATTCGTGCAAATAATCCCACTGATTTCAATAACACTTTCTCCTTGCCTTGCTAAGTCAGTACTGACCTAGGAGAGTCAGGTCACCACCTGAATTACGTAGTATGTGCCCATCTGCTATCGCTGACCCACAAGCTTGTGATGGTTTACTGGCTAAAAGACCAATGCTTCGCTTTCAAATCGAAGGCAGCCAGACTGAAATATTGAATTCCAGTAGATACAGAGCTCCCAGATGCTATTTTTACCAACTCCTTTCAGAGCCATGGAACAAATAGATAACAGATCTGCATTTAGATCTCAGGAATTATTGGATACTAACAGACGCGTAACCCCACAACCAGTTCATAAAGGGTCCCTTGATTGTAATTTTTAGGAGGCAAACATCATCAGCTCTGTGTGGAAGTGCAACAGGCTAAACGATGGCCTAATGCATACTCCAAAGACTAGACTCACAAAACAAAGATGTGGATACTTGCATTCTATTTCTAAATTTCTGAAATCTTTCTAAAATTTAGATTTCTGGGTCCAAAGTCATGATATTCAGTTTCTCCTTACAGCCTAACCCTGGAGGCTCCCAAATCCCATTGGTGCCTGACAGCTGTGATTCATGGGAAGGGACAATTTATATCATCCTGGCTAACAAGACTACCACCCCAGCTGTCTATCCTGTCCTCACTGCAGATATCTTAAATACCCCTGAGCTGCCACAGCTTTCTAAACTCAGCTCTGCATGCCAAGTTAAATTTGGTTTGATTTTGTTAGTCAGGGGCTGGCTAGGGACAGGGAAGTCACTGTGCATACCATTAGGTACTTGTATATCAGCCTATTCGCTTCATGCATCAAAGCTGCCAGTGTGCAAGACTAGGGTTATTTCCTACACAATATTTGGTCACACAATATTCAGACATGTCTGCAAATGGCTTCCCAGGTAGCTCCGTACCCATCCTACCACAATGTGTTGATTATATGTTCTCTGTCCATGTTGTTTAAGGGTCTCCTCCTGCAGAGCTGATTCCGAGCTCCACCAAGGCGTATCTGGAAGAAGACTTAAAGAAGAGTTAAAGAAACATCCACCTCTGTAGCAGAGAAGTGTCATGGGAAGTGTCACTGAGGGCTGACACTGCCCAAGCAAACCAGCTTCTTTTCTCTGGGAAAAGTGCTCTGATCAGCAGGCTGCAGTGTGTGTTCTTGGGAAGTGGAAGGAAAGGAGCCTAGGCCCCCATGCCAAAAGCTGTTTCACTTGGTATAGAATAATGAAATATTCATTAGGCCTGAGAGCAGGAGAGAGGTTCAGCATGGCCACAGCTTGGTGTTTACTCACACTCTCAGTGACCCATCAAATATTGATGTATTTAAAAATTAATAGGTCTGAAGTTATTGCATGACTCCCTGACCTCAAAGGTATTTTCCAACCTAAACTATTCCAAGGTTCTATGCCCTATCAAGCAGTTTGAACAAGTAGGGTAAAGCATGTTCTTGCTCTGCAAAGTCATCTGTCTGGTTAGAGCTCACCACTAGAATAGTGGCCTCAATCCAGCCAAAAGGGCTGTCAAGACCCTGCCATGTGCTCTCACCTTTCACTTTATCAACACCATCATTTGAGAAGACTTTAATTTTCTCACAAAAAATATATACAGCACAAAAATATGCTTGTGCTTTGTTTACCTTCCTACACAAGATAAGATCTGGTTTCAAGTGAGAAAATATCAGCCCACCTCCACTGAGGGGTAGTGGTCCTACACTTCTTCCTCCTCCTTCCTGGGAATCAGAACCAAGAGCCAGCTGAACTCACTGAACTGGCAAGAAACTCTTTTAGCACAGCAACTAGTTTTTGTTTTGATTACAGGGCTAAGGAACTGAACCAGCTTGGCTTGCTACCTGGGGAGACTGAGGAATAAAAAAAAGGGGAAAGAAGATGGGGAAAACTGGAGGAGGAAGGCCATCCTGTTCCAGCAGCACTGAGTTGTCAAATAGGCCCACCTCGCAGTGGCACTGAGGTCACTGCCCATTTGAGGAGAGGGAATGGGTTAGAAATAAGTGGCCCAGGGCAAAGCTGAGAGGTGCATGAGTGGGTGCCCCTCTTTTGAAGGGGCAGGCAGCCACTGAGAGAGGCTGATTGTACTGGAAAACTCGTCCCTAAATCTCTTTGAAGATCTGGCTTTGTTTCCTTCTTCTTCCTTAGGTCTCTGTTGCCCATGTTCTGTAAAACTTTCAGGGAAAAAAAAAAATCATGCCTTTTTCTCCAAGAGCATTTGAATCACACCAAAGTAGGCCAGGTGATAATTGCACAGCACATTGTAGTGCTGCTTAAATGTCAGCTGTTAATTAAAACCTCTCCTGAAAATGGGCCATTAATTAGGGCAAATGCAGCCATTCTTTATGGATTCTGACTAACCGGTGAATAAAAGCACTATGTCAACTTTGGTATTGGAATTGTTAATTTTTATTTGTCTGAGGTGTGTTTGCTATTGAAAGAAAAACAACTGAAAGAAATTATAACTTCTTGAACTTATTGTTCTTTCTTTTAAAGACAGTTTTAAATAAATATTCTGGCACAAGAATATTCACGCACACACAGATTGCAATAGGGAACATTTCAGTATTAGGTCCAGATGTCTCTAGCAGTTGTATAACCTTGTTAGGAATGCTGAAATGCTGTAGATATTAAAATACAGCTCTGACCTGCAAAAACAGCCTGTTGTGGTGCTTCACTCGTGGCTTTCTGTTCTTAAGAAAATGGCACTATCTGCATGAATAATGTTGCACTGGCACCATCATGTTTGCTAAATCAGGGCTAGAAAGTAAGGCATGGATTTCCTTTGAAACTTTTCTAAACCACCATGAACTATTAGGGAGAATCATAATATTGATAAATAAAATATTAATAAAATATTAATCTGTGTTGCAGACTAAAATATATCAAAGTGTTCCAGCCTATAAATATATAAATATATATATATCTATCTCCAAGCCTTGCAGCTTAACCATCTTCCTTTTTGTCTCTTTGGCCTGGATTCAGCAAAGCAATTAAGTCCCTATATAGTCCGATTGATTTCAGTGACACATAAGCAGTTGGTTTAATCAGGTCCACTCTGCCTTCCAAACTGCATTTCTTCCTGCCTCCCAGTGTATTAGAGATTATGTAAGAGCAGTTCCAGTTATTATCAGTAGCTGTAACATGAAATCATGGTATATGTTGCACTTCTATGCCTAGATAACTCTGCAGGAGGTCCATCTATGAGAAACTATGCAGAGATCGGGCTGAAGATTTCAGTCTTTCACAGCAGTGTTGCCGCATTTCCACAAAGTGCGTGGTTGAACACACCAAAGCAGACACCACCCATTGCATCCATGGCAAGGCCTCCATCCTTGGAGCAGCCAAATCTCTGCAGCTAAAGCAGAGATGAGCCCTTGATTCAGGACTGACCTCTGAAATCTGGACATTGGAAAGAATCCCCGCATCCACTGTGCCAGAGAAGCAACTATCATGCATGGAGACCGGGGGGTGGTGGGGGCATGAGTCCTGTAGCCAGGATGGACACTGGGAAAGGGCCAGGTGGCACACTGACCGCCAGCTCCCCAGCTCCAGATCCTATGGTTGCTGGTCACAGAAACACTAAATTGAAGTTGGTTTTGCTTAACACATGGTTATAGTTCCCCTTTTCCCACGAAGAGAGAGTGGTTCTGGGTGAAATGGAAAATGCTGTGATGCGAGGATTGCTGCTAAATGAGAAGAACTGGAATATTTTTAGGTACCTCCTTTTTAAA